TATATACATACATATCTACACATAAACATATATATAAATACATATAAATATATATTATATATAAGTATATATATATATATATATATATTATATATATATATATAATACTTACAAATGAGACATTAAAAACAATTTCATATTTAACAATACATAGGCCTACTCATGGAAAAACTTAAAGCTTTTCATAGGAAAGTTACATTAGGGTGAATAATTTAATTTTAAGTGGAAATTGTTGAAGGGTCAACAGGAAGTTCGTTGGAAATGCATAGGCCAAGGAGGATGGGGAGAAGTGAGCGTGGTCGGGCGTCTCTCAAATGTCATGATGACATCACACAATGACCATAGGGCCTATACTGCCCCCCCCCCGCCCAATGGCGAAAGGGCATAACTGATATTTTTGGCGAAATTGAGTTATATAACCTAGTGGGGTCAGTGCATCATGTTACACATGTTGACACAAAAAAATTGTAAAAAAAAGTGTCCCCCGGCCTAGATAGGGGCATGGCAAATGGGCATAACTACACAATTTTCAGTAAATTCCCAAGGCAAAAGGGCATAACTACAAAGATAGGCTGTAATACCTGAAGCGTGACGTTCTTTCAACAGCCAACCAATCAGAAGAGAGCTTTCTCCCTGGTTACAATGAAGGTTGCTTGTTAAGTTTTATTATTTTTATTATTCTTACTGTTTGTGTACTCACAGTTTGTAAATAGAAATTTATTAAATAGTATGATTCTTGACAGTAGCATATGTCTAGTTAATGTTCATGATAAGTCTAGTTAATTTATGCTATATAATCTTGCCTTACTTTGAATGCAAAGAGTTTAATCTATGGAAATAAATCTATGGGAAAAAAATAACTGTTTAATAAAAATAATTAACCATGGCAGAATAACAATTCACATTTTGGCTAGAAATAATTGAGGCAAAGAGGGACAACTAAAACGATTATTTAGCAAATAAGTATGGCACAACTACAACGTTTATTCAGCAAATAACCATGGCAAAAAGGCACAATTACTTCGTATTTTTAGCAAATAACATGACAAAAAGGTATAACTGCACAGTTTACTCGAATCAACTGTGTTCACTAAGCAAACAACAACTTACTTTTCCGTCTAAATATAAATATATAATACATAGTCTAAATATTTGATTAGAATAATTATAAAAACAATAATATTGTAATCATTTTATTATTACTTGAATTTGGATCATAGAAGAATTGCTAATAAAAATAATAATAATAATAATAGGCCTAATTTATATTGTAATTACATGACTTAAAACATATATTTATTATTTTACTTTGTAAATAAAATTAAAAACCAATTTATATAAAATAATTGTAATGCTTGTTTAACGTACACATAGAAACAGTCACACGCGCATTCTAACTAAACAACAGTTCTATTTCACATACGGTACGCATACGCATGCATCCTTCACGCAGTGTGGCGTAACGCCTATGCGCTCTTGTGCGAGGCCCCAGACCCCTAGGGGTCCATAAGGCCCCTACCCACAGGGTCCTCGATCTAGCACTTTGAGCCAAAAAGGCTTTGTTGATACATAACACTTAACAGCATACTATTGTCAATTTTCTTTCTCGTTTGTATATTATTTGGTTAGCTTATACAGAAACTTAAGGCACACCATGACTATATATTGGCATACATCATTGTTTGATAATTTGTAGAGAGCCTTATTATTAAGGCGTTTGTTGGTTGTTTGAAGAATGGATGGATGGATGACGTACAACATAGTTTTTACCATTAATCTTATTTTGTATAAACATACTTGCATTGTATTCCATTTCATACAGTATTTGTTTATTTTTTGATTGATTTATGTATTTATTTACTTATTTATTATTATTTTTATCAGTATATATTTTAAATATGTTTTTATTTTAAATTATAATGTAAATGGAGGTCAGCCTTAAAGTTCTTTGAACTTAATAAGCTTCCAACCACACCTACGTTAATCATATTTAAGTAATTTTGTCTATATTGAATGTACAACTGTATAATATGATTTGATGTGTGTGGAAAATAAACAAACAAACAAACATATCAATTAGCCTATGCTTTGTAATTCAAACTATGTCAACTAGTGGCTCACTGCTCTAGCTGAAGCGTTAAAACATTTAAATGAATAGAAAAAAATATTGTCCAGGCAAAGAAATTCCATGAAAATCTTTAGGCCTATGAAAAAATGGAGTGATGTTGAAACTGAACATCATTAAGATTTATTTTAAAGATACGGTCATTTTCTGAGTAACGTGTCGAGTTGTCTCTCCAGACAAGAAATATACTTACTTACTCTAACCCCGATTAGTGCAGTTAACATGGACGTAAATGATAAACCCAACAAACATCAAGCAAACAGAAGCAAAATGGTTCTTTTCTTGAGGCATGCTACCAAATCCGATATTTGCAAGAGTCATAAACGAGAAGTGAAATGAATCAACGAAATTCCAGCCCTCTATGATTAAAATAAAAAAGGTAAAAATTATAACAAAAAACACAGTTGTTAGCAGAATTACCCAAAGAGGCATTGATACTTGAGTGACGTCATTCTTCCGTAGTTCCCCATTCGCTTCATCAATGCGATTAATTTGCACATTACCTACTGTTACCTCTTGGGGGCGTGGTTCTTCAGTGTCGCTCGAGAAAGTAAAATCATCGTTTAAACTGTACCGTATCTTAAGTTGTATTTTTTCGAGAATGTCTTGTGCATGTGTAGGTAACAACAGTCCAAAGAGGCAGTCAGTCTTGGTCCAATTTTCAAAAGAAATGCATAAAGAATTACAATGCCAATGAAAGCGTATATGGTGCTAAACAGCTTCCCAGATGCTGTTGTAATTGTTTCACCGCCTTGTCCTGAAATTCAAAAATGTAATTTAATACACACATACATTCATAAAAGATAAAAAAGTTTCCATAGTACCCTCTATTTTTCATATGTATGCCTAAATTCCAAATTCAGAATTTTCACCTCCAGAAATGTACGTACTCCCCCCTCCCTCCCTCATGATTAACCAAAGCTTACCAATAAGCAAATGCTAAATTGTCTTGTATTATATATAGAAAACAATACATCAAGAAGGGGCGGAGATGTCCGAAAGGGGGTGGGGGCGATTGACATACAACACTACCCTAGAGGGGAGGATAATTTTTGTTT